TGTGCTCGATTGATTTACCAGGATTAAGTAACTGCACACACGCTGACTGTGGTTATTAAGTTTTCAATGTCAAAATCATAATTTTTATCTTTTGTGAAGAAACATTATACAAATCTTGCTACATGTTTTATGTTCTTACCCACACTATTTCCTAATATGGCAAAAATAAAACCAATATAATGAGATTTTTGGTGAACATAAAACCCTATTGGTTGTGCTTGTTTACACTTAACGGTAAATGTCTCGAATAAATAATTTCAGTGCACTGCCAGTGATGTTGTTCCAGTGGTACCGATGAATACCTTAGATAGTGCTTAGCCGAATCTATGTATCAAATATTTAAAGATTTCTGTATAGCCAGTGGCTGCACTGCTATTATTCTCTTATTCTGCAAAATAGGTTATTAGTGGCATTTTGTTTACATCATACAAACATTAAAACGTTTTTAAAAACCATGATATAGGTTGATCGACTTGTCAGATGTCGGGCGTAAATAAACTGTGGCTAAAATTTGACAAAAACAAATTAAAGCGGGCTAGCCCAGCATTTCCATGCCATGTACACGCAGACTAACAACCACCATTGAGAGTACTAAATTTTATCATTATAATTGTATGTTATACACTGAAAAACGTAAAAATCTGGTACACAGGATGTTTAAGTCATCACTGTAAGTGTATGTATTCATTTAGATACATATATGTTTAGGTTTGTATTGAAATATTCGGTTGTTGTTGTTTTTTCAGTGATGAGTTCTCAAACAAATATCAAATCCAAGGTTAAAAAGGACAAGTTTGGAGATGTAGTCGCTTTCAGTGAAGGAGCTGTTCGACAAAACGCTGCAATCGTTGAATATTGTCAGACATCCATGTCGGCTCTATCTGGTTGTACTGCTGGACTTCTGGGATTGACGGCTCTTTACGGATTTGCATTCTACTTCATTATGGCACTTGCTTTATGGTTAATGTTGATTATGAAAATGGGTTCTGATTGGAAGAAATATTTCAGGACTCGAACAACATTACTAACAAATGGACTGTTTGGAGGCCTGTTTACTTATGTACTGTTTTGGACATTTCTTTACGGAATGGTTCACGTATACTGAAGTGATTACAGTAAACGGTCTTGTTTCAGTCTCACTAAGTATAGTGAAAACTATCGGGTCGTGTATGAATGTGCTGGATTGATACTGTCAGCATATTCATTATTAATTAATTCAAGATAATAAAAATATACAGTTTATTACTGGAAACAAAGCCCATTGAAAGGTATAATATTTTATCTCGGGAACAGTTTCATCAAATGTTTATCTTTTTGTAATTATTCATATGCCTGTTTTTACTAGGATACTTGTATTGGCTGAAACAAATCACAATATTGCTACCACATTTTGTACAGTAAATCACATCTACAGAGAAATGTCCCATTTATGTTATGATATATATATATACCACAAGGAGAAATATTGATTTTAGCACGTGGTTATTTATCTCTTGTTTCTGTTGTAATAATTTCTATCTTTCAGAAAATTAAACAGTTTGAGATAGTAGTGGAAAATTTTGACTGCTGTGGGTGACGTTAAATTTTCTCTGGTACGTTAGTCATAATCTAACAAAGAATATTGTCTAGTGTAACATTCTACAATATTGAGAGTGATAAGTTTTCAGAGGTTACCTTTTGTTACTGGACAAACAAGAATTTTAAATAAAGAACTTTTAACATACCACATCATATTTATGATGATTTGTTTTTAAACAGTAGCTATAACTTTTAATGGATATTTGACAGTATGGGAAATGTCAACTTAATATTATATCAGTGATACTCTCAAACACCAACTTCTGAGAACAACATTTTAATTAAGACTATATCCACTGGTTCTCCGCACTGTTTAAACATAAAAAGTTCCGTGGTTCAAGAAATCTCAAATACGTAGAAAGTATACGTTAAAAAGGGTCCATCACCTCAACTTTGAAAAGTTTTTTCTTCCACTTTTAATCCAGGAGATTCAAACTTTTATTTCGCTGATCTCAAGTCCTATTTCATTGATAAAATACTTAATAGTGTTTTAAAGATATTCTTTGACTAGTAGTAAATAGTGGAACATCCAAACTAACAAATTATGGTGTGTTAGTTTGTAAAGTACATGCCATTACATCACAGTAAGACTGATAATTTTAATCATATCCTTCATTGCCGGCCCAGTATGCAGTTTTATCATCATGCAATACTACACACCTGTTACCAATTGAAGGTGTTTTGGTGTAAGATGTTACTGAACTCTCGGTTTTCTCTTGTGGTCTAAGCTTGTTTATTGTTAAGATCTTAAATATCTCATGATTAAACTTATAAATGTCTAGTAGTGGAGCCAGGCTAACCTTAATTATGAAAAGAGACAATATAACATGTTTAAACATTTGTATTTTTCAGTAAAATGATTAGTTATTGGTTTGCAAGCAGAACAGTTAATATTTCAAAGCATGAAGATATTACACAATAAACTATCACACTCAATACTTTATTCTAAATACAGCATCACAAACACTATATGATTCTACACTACAGCAATGGTTCTCAAACTTTTCGTCTTGGCAGATCACTGTGGGATCTATATAATATATTACTGCAGCCTTTCATCAGACCATCTGAAAGGATCCCAGAGGTCTTGGCAGACCACTGTGGGATCTATACAATATATTACTGCAACCTTTCTTCAGACCATCTGAAAGGATCCCAGAGGTCTCGGCAGACCACTGTGGGATCTATACAATATATTACTGCAACCTTTCTTCAGACCATCTGAAAGGATCCAAGAGGTCTCAGATTGAGAACCACTGCTGTATAGAATATAACTGTTACTATCTGTAAATGAAAACAAGAAACTTCAAACTTCAGTAATTTTTGGAACTGGTAATTCCCCAAATCAAGAAAATGTGCTTTTAAAAGTACTGATATACCTTACAGTAAAGTGGCAATAAGGCTGTTAAAAGCATAAGGGATTTGTCAATACAGTTTTAAAATAAAACAATCAGTTGTCACTAGTCATTTTCTAAAAATAAATAATTGAAAGTATATTTATACTAGGAATAAATTACAAACTTGAAACTTTTTAAGCAATCCTTCAACACAATATCTGAAGAGTTTTATCTTGTCAGTCAAAAAAGTCTGTAAATACAAAAAGTTTCCATGTCTCTGCACGGAATTCAAACACTGACCTTTTCTGTTAATTATCTCAAACGATGATATTGAAAACAATGAAATTTTCTTAGGTTTTAAAAAATAACTAAATGGTAACTTTCAATATTAATTCTAAAACTTTTATATATAATATAATTCCAACATGCAACTGAGATAGTTTAGACATTAACGGAAAGTTTGGTTTTTAAGCACAAAACTACACCAACGAGCTATCCGTGCTCTGCCCAACGTGTGTGTCGAAACATTATTGTTAGCATCGTAACTTTGACACTGAGACACTGGTTGGCTAACAGAAAGGAAAATTATAATTTTATCTTATTATGGACTTCCAAACTCCAACTAGTGACTGAAACAACATGGGATTTTTATAAACAAGCAGGTTTTTCTGTAAGTGAAATACACATATGTTTTCAAAGTTACCATTTATTTTTCTAATTTATGCTGTAACAGTATATTTAACATTGGCCTATAAACTCCTTTCAGATCTACTAACAGATCAGTAAATGCGTGTAATGTTAAATATTTAGATATTGTGTATTTGTTGAAATCATCAAGATTTAACAAGACTTCTTCCTCTCTACATATTGGTAATAACTTCGAAGAAAAGTTGTTTAATCAATGAATAAAATGTTATTAAACCTTTTACTACAAAGAAAATGTGTACTTTATTGTGTTGAACTTTACATAATTATTTATCAGTTATTGGTTTTTACTCCTGTTTTATAAATGTCGATAAGTTGACATCCAATGAAGTATAAAAAGAGCTATAATGTGGGTTGTTGTTTTTTGTTTTTTTTACAGTGGCACGTTACATATTTCATAAAACATGGACAAGCCTAAGCAAAGAAATACTTTGAAACCTTACATTGCAATGTTTTTGTCTTCAGAGTTAAATCAACATTCTGAAGTTAATAACTAAAACTCATTACTAGATGTTTCTATTAATATAAATAAAATTATAAAATCTATATCGCCAAAAACGTTCTTTATAAGCTCAATATTTCACTGTTACACCTCTGTCAGAAGCTATCAACAAGTTTGCTAATCCAGTTAACAAACTGGTAAGTTGTCAATAGTCATTAAGCTCCTCAAGCAGCTTCAGTAGTAAAATATTGAGTTCATAAAGATAAATTTTGGAGATATAGGTTATTTTATTTATAGTAATAGAAATTCAAATTTAATCTGTACTGTAAATAACGGAAAAAAATTACAAGCTGAATCATGGCAAGTAGAAAGTCAATGATGATGATAACAAATAAAAATAGCATGTTAAAAATTCAACAAACCATGCCTCAGATTCAAGAAAATCAGTAAATACACAAAAAAACAAAGTGCAAGTAAACCTAAGATTGTGAACTCTCAGTGAAAAGTACCACAGAAAGGTTGCAGTCAAACAGGTATAAACAAATTAGTTTAATTTAGTCTTGTTAAAAGATTCCTGTACTAATCACTGTCTACAGTTGTTATTTTATGTTGAAGCGACTTGAGCTATTTTTATGTTGTCTTTCATCACATACCTTTTATTTAATTAGTAACAACAAAACAAGGTTGTGATGTGGAATGTTTTAACTACATAAAATCTAAAATTTTCTTATACATGTTACTGCACATATATTCATGACTACAATTTACACTAGACATATCAACCACCAATCTGCGATTGATTCTCTTAACCCTAACGACAACTTTGAAAAGCTCCTTGAAGATTACTGTGTAATTAGTACTTGTTAAAACATGGCTTTAATAATTAGAAGCAAATGTCTGTTTAACATGTAAACATTAAGTGATCCAACAAATGTAAGTTCATAATTAAAAATCATGATATTTATCGTAATACTTAAGCCACCTTAGAATAAGCCTATTTAGGAAAAAGTGGAATTTCACAAGCAAAGTGTTGTAATTCAATAATTATTACACACACGCTACAAATTTGCAGAGACTCACAATGTACAATTTTAACATTATATTCTATTTGAACTATAAATAAGCAGGTTGTGAAGCTCAACAATGTTACAAAGACGATGGAAACATAGCTCCTTCTTGAGACTTGGCCGTTTCTTTAGAAACTTCATAATCCACCTCTCACTGAAAACAAAGAATTTCAATGCTATTCAGAAATCAAATACTTCTATTGAAGTGTTAAGTTAACTTTTATTTCTCTAAAGGTGAAAATTTAAGGGTATTTTGATTTGTTTAACTGTATTACGTTTTGGTAACACAGTTACCATCATCAGGGCTGTTACTGAAACTAGTCGGCTGAAAGTAAAACTAAATATTTTCCCTTTCATTGTACCAAAAACGTTGGTTTTTGTGTTTTTTTACTCTCAATATAGTAGCACAATGTGCCTGAAAAGAAATTATATTTGTTAAACTGTAATGAAGAGGATAATGATTTATATTTATGAACCAAAGTTTATGCTATCTTAAAATAAGTTAAATTTAGGTACAAACTATTTTGGAATGAGGCAAATCCAAGTTTATCTTGTATCCCTAACATAAGATGTGTGAAGTCAAGGTGTTTTATGTAAAATCATGTTTTCATCCTGCAAATCTAAGTCACATTATATGTACTGATCTTATTTTTGCACAACTAAGAAAAAGAGTCGCAAGTTTTTCCCAAACTGAAAAACCAATTAGGTGAAACTCGGATAGAAAAACGAAGTGATAACGGGATTCCGAAAAAGGAAATGGGTATTTTAGAGGATAATCACTCTTTTAATTGAATAACTTAAGATGTGTAAAAACTTGCACAACAGTGTTTATGATAGCCACACATCAGTACAATGGCCTAAGTTATGATTTTTACAAAAAGTTACAGAATGAGCTCAACCATCCTTAATTATGAATTGCTAGACTACAGGGAAGGCACACAGTCAACAGAACCCACAACCAGCTCTTGTCTGACAGAATTCGACCATTAACTTTATTGTGCAACTGTGGCCCCAATGTGAGAAGCACATTTTTGTGGCAATAAGGTCACAAACTATGAATCTTCCGATTAACACACTGGACATGCTAACCATTAGGCCATACCTGGATCACTTTGGTTGTGTAAAAAGGGGCACTTGGACCCAAAATCCACTGCAATGTAGATGGGAATATCTTCTAATACTGTTAACAAGATAATAAATAAAGAATCGAAGCTGACAATCGTCCACAAGATTCAGTCGCATTCCATTAGAATCACAGAAATCCCATTTGACTACAGACTCATCAAATCTTCAGTTACAATGGATCTTTTATGCCTTTGGAAGTAAATATTTCTGTAGAGTGCAATGTCTAGTAAGATTAGTGATTTAAGAGTAATCTAGCCTACCTTGGTTAGATGCTTTTATTACAATGGAAATTGTGATGTTGGAATAGTGCATAGTTATGAGCGTGTCGATAAGAGAGGCAGCAGAGTACTTAGCACCACATTCCATAAAGTGCCTTTAATCTCGATAAAATAATGCCACATTATAAACCTAATAAAAAATTAGTGAAGATTTTCCCAACTACCATCCACAGTACAGAATATTCAAGAAATAGGAAAACAGATTATCATTAAGACACATTTTTAGATTCATGATTCCCACCTAGTTTTGAGAAATTTGATCTAAAGTACAGTTATTACCTCATCACTTTCATCTGAGTCCTCATCATCACTGACATATCGTTTGCTAGGTCGTCCTTTCCTCCTTTTTGCCTTTTCCTACAATACAAAAGTGGCTGTTAGAAATTATAATTCATGTTTCAAAAAAACAGTCGGTCAATGATTTCAAAGTTTCCACCCACTATTTATATTCATGGCTTTATCACTTTGTTATACGCAAGCCCTGTATGCATCTAATGTAACATTACACACCTAAAACAGAAACAATGACCAGAAATGTCCAACTCAATTAGAATCTCTAAAACACCCAGTGCTGTAGTCAGAATTATTTCGAGGAGGTCGAAATACCAGGTACTAAAGTTCTTTAAACAGTCACACTAGCAACAAGCTTCCCACTGATTAAACAGTAGTCATGCACACACACTAGCAACAAGTTTCCTGCTGATTAAACAGTAGTCATGCACACACTAGCAACAAGTTTCCTGCTGATTAAACAGTAATCATGCACACACACTAGAAACAAGTTTCTTGCTGATTAAACAGTAGTCCTGCACACACTAGCAACAAGTTTCCTGCTGATTAAACAGTAGTCATGTACACACACTAGCAACAAGCTTCTTGCCGATTAAACAGTAATCATGCACACACTAGCAACAAGCTTCCTGCTGATTAAACAGTAGTCATGCACACGCTAGCAACAAGTTTCCTGCTGATTAAACAGTAGTCATGCACACACTAGCAACAAGCTTCTTGCCGATTAAACAGTAATCATGCACACACTAGCAACAAGTTTCCTGCTGATTAAACAGTAGTCATGCACACACTAGCAACAAGTTTACTACCGATTAAACGGTAATCATGCACACACACTAGCAACAAGTTTACTACCGATTAAACAGTAATCATGCACACACTAGCAACAAGTTTCCTGCCGATTAAACAGTAATCATGCACACACACTAGCAACAAGTTTCCTGCTGATTAAACAGTAATCATGCACACACACTAGCAACAAGTTTCCTGCTGATTAAACAGTAGTCATGCACACACACTAGCAACAAGTTTCCTGCTGATTAAACAGTAGTCATGCACACACTAGCAACAAGTTTCCTGCTGATTAAACAGTAGTCATGCACACACTAGCAACAAGCTTCCTGCTGATCTAAGAGACAATGTTTATTAAGATATTTAAATTTTTGAATTTTTTTTTTACCCAAACTTTCTTAGGGATATAATGTCCTCCATACCTACACCACTGAAAAAATTTTTAAATATTGGATAGGTGTGCCAGTGTTTCTTAATATAAATTGCACTAGGCCTATTAGATTAAGTGTATCGAAAGTGCCTGCTTCCGGCAGTAGAATTAATAGTCTCTTCACACAGACATAAGTCAAATTAGCAGTAAGTATCCTAATTTAAAAACTCATTGATAAATTAGCCATTCATATAATTCAAACACTTCACTGATGGACAGACAAAGTGTATATGAAACTACTATTTACAGCGCAACTAATTCGAAGAATTCGAGCTTTTCAGTATTTTTTTTTTTCTGAAAATTTTATTTGCTCAAAGTTTCAATAGCTGGTGTAATTTAGGCTAAAACATAAGTTCTTTTACGTTATGATTCAGTCGAAGCTTTGTCTACTTGACAATGATCACACCAGTAACAGAGGATGTATAAATAAAGTAGAACTACCGAAAAGCTATGAAATCTTAAAATATCTATCCAATAGGATAACTTAAATTAAGTGTAACATGGGTAAATGTACGTATACAACATAGTTCCAAGTTCTTTAATATGATTAGGTAAATGGGAAGTAAACGTATTTAACAAAGGAATGTATGACATCAACTTGGATAAATGACGCTGTCAGATCTGTTGCCCAAACTTAGGCTTAGCAGCAGAGATGATACTTAAAGAGTTAATTTGGTTATCTAAGTTATAACACAAGCAGTGTGAAATTATATAACAAAAAAAAATCGTTTTTTGTTTTTTTTACACTGTTACGTCTCTGTGTTCGTTTGCTAATTTTCCGTAGAAATTCTTTCAGATAAATTTCAGCGATACAAGTTTTTTCTTAAATAAAACTAGTTTATTCTTTCTCAACTCAACTTTGCAATACACTTAATTTCCACAGTCACTTTAACTTAAACACACGCTATAATTCACAAAGAACGATTCACGCACTTGACTCAATTGTCCATCTATATCTTCCATCTCTCTGTCTGCTATTATCTATTATGCTGTCACTTCATTTGCCGGCTTATATATATAAAAAATAGAGGGCGCGTAGAGAATACTAGAGTTGCCACAAACAGACATGAACCTTCTAGAATCTCATGACGTGTTACTAGCGTCAAGTGACTTCTGCTGTCGTAAAAACACTATGTCATTTTAAGTTTATAAATATTTCTCACACATTCTCATAAAGCCCCATTCATGTTGAATAATGGTCATGGTTCATACTGAATTGCTCAGATCAATTTCAAGCACTCTCAGAATGTGTTTCAAGCACTTTTTACAAGATAGAGTCTACATCAAAATCAATTGGATTCCACTGAAATTTTATAAAATTCCTATTTATTTGGTCAACATATGAATGTAGAATAAAAAGAAAAGAAGGACTTTATTTATTACGCTCAACTCCACAACATGCATCAAAGTTACATATATCAATACATTCTGCTATTATAATATTTTCAAATACTTTTGCTAAAAAAAAAGGCCCGTTTGCAAGCTCTTGAAATTGCATTCTCAATTTCAAGGATGCGTATGCACCCTGAATGATACAACTGGTTCGAAAATGAATAGCATTGGAAACCATTAGGCCTAATGTTTGTGACAAAAGTACCCCCCCCATACCACACACACACACATGACCTTCTTGATTAGTCAATTCAAGTTTAATATCAGGAAATGTGTAAAAATAGCATTTCAGTTGTTGTACTGTATAAATATATAGTGTTCAAGTAAGACTTTTATCTCTCACTGTCCAATCCAGCTAACAAGGTCTATTACTGACGAAAAGGCCTACTGAGCAGAGGCTTGTGGGAGACAAATAATGAATGTAAAATACTATTTTTATATGCCTCTCATTTGAAATCCATAACAGACAATTTAAAAGGAATGTGAATTAAAAAGAAATGTCTTTTTACAAGAAAAAAAAAAGATAAAATACACACCATGTTTTTAATCACAATCACACAAGAAATATGTGATCCAAAACAGACTCTAGAGCTAATGACAGTTGTGTGTTTTAGTTTTGTTTCTAGTTTCAAAAAAAAAAGTAACAGAGTAAAGTAATATAATACGATTTTAATTCTAAAGTCTATTTTGTTGGTACATAAATTAAAAAAAAACTGTATGTTGAACTTCACCTTAGAGCTACACAAGAAATCTCTCACTTCTTAAGTGCAGTACATCAAAGTCAGAAGACGGTCCTCCATGAGAAATTCTCAACAAAAGTCCTCCTCATTCATTCAAATACAAGTTTCTTTCTAAAAATATGAGATTTTAGTCCCAAAAATTTAGTATAACAAGATAACAGAAACTACAATAAAAGTACGAGCACTGGAAAATAAGAAAACTGAGGGTGTGGTAGTTTAAGTTGTTCAAAGGTTCCATATTGTTCATGGGTTAACCTTTTAGCTCCATTGGTGGAGCAACCTTTTTGGTGTGTAAGATATACCAACAGAAAGATACTGTCACAGAACATGCTGGTTTATCCCACAGATACTGTGAAAGTTCTTCTTTGACATTCAGAAGGAATAAGACTGCTGTAAATCAGAGTACCATTAAGTTTATCCATTAAAAGCAAAAGATGGGGAATCTGAAAGACAGTATATAACCAGAAGGCAACTGGTAACATCAATGATGGAACTTTTCTACTTCCTCACCTGAGGGGTCATCACCTATTGATGCAACCCCTGGAATCATCACCTAGTACTCAACTCGACATAGTCTTGAGGATCAATTCTTTTTTGCAAAAGGAGAAGAATGTGGTCAATTGAGTTTTTATAAATTGATTCCCCTCCCCTCAAAGATAAAGTTTTAATGGATAAACAATTAAACAAACAGTTTGAGTTTGGCAGCCTGAATGAGGGTTAGGAGGTTTGTTTAGTTTTAAAACAAAGCCACATAGAGTTATCTGCTGGGCTCACTGTGGGGGAATTGAACCCCAGATTTTAGCATTGCAAGTCCATAAACTTACTGCTGTCTCACTGGGGGACAAAGAGTTAGGAGAGCAGTAGTGAAATATATGAAGTCAACGCCACACAAAAGTGAGGCTTAACAGCACAGGTACATATGCATCAAATAAACAGTGCATGTTTTAAGACTCAAAATAGTGCAAGTAGGCACTATTTACAGCAATAGTTTTTAATCTAAGCTTTTTCAGGCACTCTTCCTGGTATACATATATTACATAGTTTTAAATATAAAGGTTTGAACGTTTTACTACAAGCCACTTACACTTTCCTTCATTTTTACATGCAATGTTGTCAGTGGTCTGTAATATCCAAACTGAAACTTCTACCTACATTCATTAGTTTTTTGGAAGGACCATCAGCACCCTTGCTCAGCCGAATTTTCACTTTCATACTTTGACTTTCTTCTTCCTCTTCATCGTCATCACAGTCGTCTTGCTGGTCGTCATCAGCACCACCCTAACCAATATTAACATATAAACTGTTAAAACAGTATTTATTAGTTTTCAAAATCAAGCAGCTGAACTATAGTTCAGATTCATTTGAGGTCATGTTCAGTTTAACTTTATGTCATATGCAATGTAAAAAAAAAAAAGTACAATACTTAAAAAAGCTACAAGAAAGTTTGTACTAAATATTCTTTTTCACGTATAAAACCTCAAAAAATAAGGACTAGTTAAACCATTAACATGTTAAAGGTGTGGTTGAAGTAATTTAATATATAGAGACTCCTTGATCGGAATTTAATTTAACTACATCTTATTACCTTAGTGTTGGTTTACTGGGGTACCGCATGGCCAATCATGCAAATGGACAGAAGATTTCGCTTTCTTTCCTGTATTTGCATGTTCTATGATATGTGTTTCAAAGGTTCTACCTGTTGAACTTCTGGGTAATAGTTTCATACTAGATGTACTTGTGCAAGGTCCCTGAAACTGTTCTGTTTTAAGAGTAAATAAAACCAAAATTGAGTAACAAGTATTTTTATTTCTTATTTTTCAAGTTCATATGTCATGCTGTGTTGTAGCCTACAGAGTGCATAATTCTTCTTGTGATTCGTGGCATGCATACATTTTACTTACATCATGACAGTACAAATTGCAACATTAAGTGTCCCTTATGTGACATCATTTTAGTGTTACTGACTGTTTGTTTGTTTTGAATTTCGTGAAAAGCTACATGAAGGCTATCTGCACTAGCCATACATAATTTAACAGTGTAAGACTAGAGGGAAGGCAGCTAGTCATCACCACCCACTGCCGACTCTTGGGCTACTCTTTTACCAACAAATAGTGTGATTGACTGTCACGTTATAATGCCCCCACAGCTGAAAGGGTGAGCATGTTTGGTGGGACAGGGATTCGAAACTTGCAACCTGCAGATTGGGAGTTGAACTCCCTAACCACCTGGTCATGCTGGGCCCACTGACTGACAACACATCCTACTGTATATTGGTGTGAATGGTTAAAACAGGTGACCCCTCTAGGCAGACTTTGGCTCCCTTTTGGGAAAATAACTTTTTTTTTTTCTTTAAGTTACAAGTGTGTCTGGCTAGATGCATTAGAATGAGAGTCAACAGACAACTTTGCATGTTACAAATAACAGTGTTGTTATTCTCACTGTACTTCCTTATTACACTGTTTAGAACTTTCAACAGAAAATCAATCTTCAGTAACACTGTTTTGATTTTCATTATAACAACACACAACATTACTGCACAACTGGAAAGCCTTGTGGATTAGAATGCACATTACGTTCTTTTTAAGGCTTGAATCAGAAATAATAAAGAATAAATTGACACATCTAAATGAAAACTTTTTTCTGGTATATTTTGCGACGTTTTGAGCAGACACTTTTTTTCAGGTAGTAAAGACTGTTTTACAATGGAATTAGGCTCAGAAAAAATCAGTGATAGTTAAGAGAATACAAAGGTTCAAATTACAACCATTCATTGTGGAGCAACACTCACTCTCAAACCTTTTTAAAGCTATTTATAATAATACTTTCAAAACTAAAAGTTATATATTAAACTACTTCAACCAAGCCTAAATGCAAATCAGTACGTTTCGCCATTAAGGCTGAAAATGTGAGTTCATTGTTAGTCAAATATTAAAGGTAATTTGGAATTTCTCAAAAACTATTTGTCTACTAATAGACTAAATTATTTTTATTCTGTAAACATTGACATATGTGCTTAAGTTTTCAAATCAAAACTAACTGAAAAATAAACTTAGGCTGTAGAGTTATGTAACGTTAACCACATCACTTACTGGAAGGAAACTTACATTATTCAGATCATCAGGGTTTTCAGGTTCACTTTCCTCTTCCATGCCAGCCAAGGCCAAGTCTCCATCGTTTTCGAGCCTTTCTCTTGCACTGGTGAAGACCGATTGAAGAACGATAGAGTCCTCGTAGATCATAGAACCTTCTACGTTATACGTCTGGGCATTCTTGCACATAACCATGAAGTCATTTTCCAGATCATCCAGGTTACGATAACGGTGTTCTCTAATTCTTTGCTGATTAAAGCATCACAAAATTATATGTATGTTATAGGATAATGGGATCTAAAGCCTCAGACATTGTTAATAACACAGTTGCACATTTCCCTTACCTGCTATTATTCTATTCAAAAATACTTAGTAGTAAATAATGAAAATCTGGTATAATGGTTTTACACAAGACACAAATATCAAGATAACCATCATGTATGTTTTAATAAAATATCAAGATAACCAATGTGTACATTTTAATGAAATATCAAGATAACCATCGTGTATGTTTTAATGAAATATCAAGATAACCATCGTGTACGTTTTAATAAAATATCAAGATAACCATCGTGTATGTTTTAGTGAAATATCAAGATAACCATCGCGTACGTTTTAGTGAAATATCAAGATAACCATCGTGTACGTTTTAGTGAAATATCAAGATAACCATCGTGTATGTTTTAATGAAATATCAAGATAACCATCGTGTACATTTTAGTGAAATATCAAGATAACCATCGTGTATGTTTTAATGAAATATCAAGATAACCATCATGTACGTTTTAGTGAAATATCAAGATAACCATTGTGTATGTTTTAATTAAATAAAGATAACCATCGTGTACGTTTTAGTGAAATATCAAGATAACCATCGTGTACGTTTAATGAAATATCAAGATAACCATCGTGTACGTTTTAGTGAAATATCAAGATAACCATCATGTACATTTTAGTGAAATATCAAGATAACCATTGTGTATGTTTTAATGAAATATCAAGATAACCATCATGTACGTTTTAGTGAAATATCAAGATAACCATTGTGTATGTTTTAATTAAATAAAGATAACCATCGTGTATGTTTTAGTGAAATATCAAGATAACCATTGTGTATGTTTTAATGAAATAAAGATAACCATCGTGTACATTTTAGTGAAATATCAAGATAACCATTGTGTATGTTTTAATGAAATAAAGATAACCATTGTGTATGTTTTAATGAGATAAAGATAACCATCGTGTACGTTTTAATGAAATAAAGATACCCATCACATATCTTTTAATGGAAAATATTTGAAATAATGTTCTTTTTTGTTGAATTTTGTATAAAGCTACTCAAGGAATATCTATGCTTATCATCCCTAAAATTTGGAAGTGGTGACTAGAGGGAAGGCAGCTTGTCAACACTTGGTGTGTTTCGTTTTTAAAAATTACAAAACATTAATAAATTAAAATTTTTCCACTCTTAGTGTTTAACATCAACCTATAAACCATCAAGAGTTTTATAAATAGGTAGATATAACAAATACAAGAATGAGATGATAATAGCAATATGTGTGAGTATGTTTACTATTATTACTACAGTTAGAAGACATACCCTAATCTTGCGAAGATCCACAGGTTTCTTGATAACAGCATAATAGTCTGGAAACTCTCTTCTCGGTGGAAGCAACATAAATGCTTCACTTAACACCCGATCATCGCTGTTGATACGCAAAGAATTTTAATATATTAAAAGGATAATTGGTAAAAGAAATTGTTTCTAATATCCGATTTAATTTTCCACTAATGGATACCTTAAAAAAGTAATGGGATCAAAACAGCAAGCAAAACGTGGTATACTAATTAAATTCTTGTATATACATAAGACATCAAAGTCTATAAGATCTGATGACTAATTGCTGGCGAAAGGAGAGAATTTAAGTTAAAAGAATATTATGAACGAAGATACTAAAAATAAAAAAGGCACATAATCGATAACTAATGCATTTTATGTTTACAGCTATTTCTACAAGTTTATTCACCAGTATATGTCGTTATATAAAACAAGTTTAAGCCTAATGAGGAAAAGGTTTTAAAATAGGTTGTAATTTTCATTATGTAAGTAGTTTTCTTGGCAACTAATAAATTACAGCGCTGTTTCTACTTAATGTATGTGTGTAGTTTTACACCCAAAAAATGTCCCAAACAATTTTTAATTTTGCTAGCTAGTCTATCAGCAAATATGTGCTTTGCTGTGAAACACAAAAATGTCATTCAGATAAATTTCAACTTAGTAAAAAAAATAAGATACTTCCCCCACATTACTTTCAAAAATGCATTTGTTTTTGTTATCAAGCACAATGAACTATCTGTGCTGTGTCTACCACAAATATATCTAAACTCAAGTCTCTGCTGTGTTTTTAAGTATACAAAAGAAGTACAGTAACACTGAAAACCTACAGCTGAATAAAGCAAATTAACTAGAAATGAAACCCCAGTACACTACGGCTAATGTCTTTATCCTGAACTAAATGCCTCTGTAAGATTTTTATAAATTATTAAGGAATCAATAATAGTATCTTACCGTTATAAATTATTTTTTAATGTTGTAATTTGTTTGTTAGTTAGAGGGAGCTGCAGGTCATAATGATGACACTAAGATCAGATATGTTTATGACACCTGGAAAATTGTAGGGAATTTTACACCATATTTTCTGTTACATTTGGGGGTAAATTATAAATATGGGGTTCAATAGAGCATCAAGAAGATAGTTGTTTCTAGGTGGTAGAGTGAGTCAATCATTGTGGTTTCCTGAAGTATTTGGATCTATGCTGGCTATCACACATACTGAGTAATCTTCTTGCACAAGTAAGTTGATTATTTAAGTTAGTGTAGTGTAGTTAAGTTGTTTATTTGTTAAAACATCATTATGCTCGTCAAAGTGCTTTTTATTTCATGATTTTACCAAGTTATATTTTCTTTGATTTTTTGCAGAAAAAACAGAAACAATGATAGTACAAAAATAATTTTCTATAAATTGAGCCTTATATATATATTATCCTCTAGTCTAACATCCTACTGACTCAGAAACAGTCTTAAAAATAACCTAATTTAATACTTGAAGTTGTGAAAATGTAATCTTTAGATCACATCTCTCATTACATAGGATATGCTTTATGTTTTACAGTAATTTCCTCGAAAGGGGGCCCAAAGGCTATCTGGAGGGGTCACCTGTTTTAACCATTGCACACTACTATACAGTTGTGTGTTGTCTGTCAGTCAGTCAGTAGATATTAAAATTATGTCACATAAGGGACGCTTAACGTTGTAATTTGTAGAGTAAAATGTGTGCATGCCATGAATCATGATAAGAATTATGCACTGTGTAGGCTGCAACACAGCATGACATATGAACTTTGAGAGCAAGAAATAAAAATATTTGTTACTCTTAACTTTGATTTTTCTTTACTCTTGAAACAGAACACTTTCTAGGGCCCTGTGGAAGTACATCTAGTAGCTATAAACCTGTTTCAACCCGTATTACAGAATCCATACAGGAATAGGCTACTATTGTGATTATATTTGGTTTGGTTTGTTTAGAATTTCACAAGAAGCTACTCAAGGGCTATCTGCACTAGATGGCCCTAAGCTAGTAATGACAGACTAGAGGGACGGCAGCTAGTCATCACCACCAAATTCGACCTCTAGGACTACTCTTTTACAAACGAATAGTGGGATTGACCATCACTTTATAACACCCCCACAGCTGATGGGGATTCGAACCTGCCACCCACATATTGCAAGTTCAATGACCTAATTACCAGGCCAAGAAGAATTATTCACTCTGTACGCTACAACTCAGCATGACATATCAACTTTGAAAGCAAGGAATAAAAATATTTGTTACTCTTAATTTTGGTTTTATTTACTCTTGAAACAGAACACTTTCGGGGACCTTGCAGAAGTACATCTAGTTTTAATAGCTGCACATTGGGTTTGAAATATATATCATTACTTACAGTATTTGAAGTTTCATGCTTATAACCCTAATAACTGTATAATTGATGAATTCTTCTTCTTACCTGTCTTTGTATTTTATAACAATATCGATCAGTTTTTTCATTTGTTTTGTTAATTTTGGAGGGTTTGGAGACATTTTCTCCAAAGGTGGCCTGCCACGTTTCTTTTTAGGTTTTGTGTCATCAAACTCCAGCTCTCTTTTTCGTTTTTTGGGAGCTTGCTGCTGTTTCCTTACTCTGCGTCTAGTTTCCATCTCTTCAAGGTTACCTTCTTCAATAGCCTAACATATAATTGTTTCAAACATAATTAATAAAATTAAAAGCAGCTATGAAAGAGAAAAAAAAAACATACTAATGAACTCGGCAACTTGTAAATGGATGAAAATGAAACTTCAAAACCGATAAAATGTCAATTAAACAAAATAACATAGATAAATCATGCAAAGAACTGTGCTTTCCTAATAGCAATCTTAAATAAATCTATTAAACTCGCAAATAACAAGATAACTCAAAATAAATTTGGTTGGTTGGTTGGTTGTTTGTTCTGTTGTTAAGCAAAAGTAACACAATGTATCAAAACCCAGTTTTTAAAATTATATACCTTCAAACTTATTGTTGGGGCAAATAATCAAAAACAAGAGGTCATATTAAAGCTTCACAAATTTATCAAATGCTTCCCTAGTTTCTTTTATATGAATTAAAATGTCGTACGTCAAAAATCAACTGATACCCTTAACGCTCTGAACATTCTTGAAAGACTAAATATATTCAATTAAACCTGTAAAATATATTTATATATATAATTATATTATTATATATAAATATATATATAATTAATTAATTAAATAAGACCTCGTAAATATAGCACATAAATGACAACAATCACAATTAAACCGGTGACCAAGTATTGTTTTTTCAGCGAAACTTATGCTGTACAATATTCTAGTAGAAATAAATAAGCATAAAATATTAGTATATTTCTCTTAAACTTTTTAATTTAGGGAAGTCTTCATAGAATGTAAATTCTGGTGAATTAATATTGCCAGGTTTCTATTGGCCTAGATAACAGTGACAGGTGACATTTAATGAGCAGTTAAGATAATTAGCATACAGAAGGCCTTAAATGACTCATTCTTCCCCTTAATTCTTTTTAAAATTATAGAAATTATATTTATCATTTAGCCTTCTGACAATATGGAAAATATATCTAAATTTCTGTATTATAATTTATAAAATTCTTAAAACTGTAGATGCAGGGCTACAGTCACACTTAGATTAGATGTTTTTAAGTACAGTAACTGGTGTCTACTTGAGACAAAAGAACCATTCTTAAATACTATTCTTAATAAGAGAACTTCAACATGTTCTCTTACACCTATAACACTTGAAATGTCCAGAAAATCCTGTTTGATTTTAATTATGTTTCAACATGAATCTGTTGAATTATCTTAAAGAAAAAGAAAATCACCCTTATACCTTTAGCCACTGTCTCTCCGTCAAGTTGTCTGAATAATCTACTTCTTTTCTTTGACGAGATCCGCGTCCAAACAACTTGTCTTCCTCTTCCTCATTAGTCAGTCTCTCCACCTAACGAAATTAGCTGTCATCACTTAGGTTCAATGAAAAAATTCAATAATTACTTTGAAAAATTCATTCATTTTTTCACAACAAAAGCACGAATTGCATTTTCAAAACTCAAAACAACTCTCAGTAGTGTCAAAATTATGTTATTCAAAGCATAAAAATAACTTACAGGTCTAAAAACTTCCTGGAGAGGGAAAAATTGGCAACCAGATTTATCATGTAGAAAAATAAGTAGGCAGCTAACAGGATTTCAATCACCCCATTTCTGTTTTTCTTCTTTCTCCAGGAATTAATTTTTTTTGTCTCACAGTATTGTTTAATTTGAAATTTTGCATTATCAAAAAATGTCAAAATCTGAAAGTCTATTTGTACATATATATACACGTACATTTTGAATGTGTGCTGAATTATCTACACTCTTTTCATACCAAAGTTTTTAATAATAAAAGCTTCAACATGATAAGACAATGTTTTTCTTATGTTAATACATGCAGCAGGAAGACATGTATTGTGCGCTCTTTAATAAATAGCCTTGCTAGTGTTACACTATAATTATTGAAATGCATCACATATTAAATAGAGGTTAGCATGGCCAAACAAATGCAACTAAATACTTGCTGTGAAAAAATAATATTTTAAGCAGATAAAACATAGTAAAGTGCTCTACATAATATGTATGTGTTTCCTCTCTTCTGATCTAAAGACTTGTGTAGCCTGAAATCGACTTTTTCAACCTCATCTTTATTATGCTGCTCGTAGACTCATGCTTACAACTGCATTATTGTCACATTTTATACATATTTTTGTAATTCTCAAATTAATTACTGATATCTGGGAAGCATAAAATCCTGGGTCGGGTCAGGTAACTAAAAACCCGATGGGTGCTCAAGTTTTACGATTACCCATGCCGACATTTAATATTAAACACACTGACTAAAGGAGATGATAACAATATTAAAAGGAAGTACTATTAAAACATCAAGGTAAAACTAAATATTACCTCAGCATCATCCTTCACTAACCAAGCTGGAAGCTCATCTTCTTCCAGAAGACGAGGTTTCCGTTTTGGATTACGTGCTTCTTCTCTTCTTCTGTCCAGGTCCATTTTCTAAAATTAAAAGTTTCAGAAAATATATGATAATCAGAGAAAAAAAAATTGAACAGGTTTATAATACAGGATGTCACAAGTTTCACACAATCTAAATAACAGAACAAAGTCTTACCTGAAATAATTCAAACTCCTCTTCATTTCGAGCAATCATTTGATTTATAGTTTCATCATCTGGGACCTCATCTTCTTCCTTCATGAAAAGTAAGAAGACAATTGTTATTAAAGGACTATTACAATAACTAAAGCAGTTTTATTAAAGAACACATCAATATGTTCTCGTAACAAAATTTGACGTAATGATTTCTCAGTAAGAAAAATCTTAGGGTTCAAATGTCTATTGTCTAATGAATTTTGCACAAAGCTACACGAGGACTATCTGCACTTGTCATCCATAACTTTGTAGTTATTGACTAGTCAACATCACCCACCACCAACTCTTGTGCTACTCTATTCTTTTGTAAATGAATAGTAGGATTAATTGTCCTATTATAATGCCCCCATGGCTGAAAGGGCAAACATGTTCAGTGATGGAATTCAAACCCACGACTTCTAAATTGAGAGTTATGTGACCTATACTCCAGGCCGGGTTCAAATGTAATAAACTTTCAGAATAACAAAAAATCAATATCATAACTACATTTAATATCTTTATAATGCATAGAAAGTTAAGAAAGATTATATAACATTCAAATGCACCAAATGTTTTAAATTTATTTATTTTTACACATGAATAACATCACAATACGTTTTCATGCAATTTACTAATGGATAAAAGATAGAGAATAAATTGACACATCGAAATGAAACTTTTCTTGTTTTATTTTGTGTAATGTTTCAGGCAGACACCCTTCATCAGACAGTGAAGTCTATGTTTCAGTGAAATTAGACTCAGAAGGAATTGATGAAAGGTAATATAATCAACTTTAGGTACTGTCTCTCTGTCAAGTTGTCTGAATAATTTACTTCCTTTCATCAAAATCGACTGAATTATTAAAATTACAAAAATCAAACATTAGAAATACTTTAATATGTGACACAAACTTCTTCATCTCCTTCATCTTGAGAAAGAATAGCTTTCAGGAACCGTCGTCTCTCATTTCCAGTGCTCTTCTGATCAAACATTCCAGCCTGAATGACTTTTTCATCTAAGTTCAATTTGTATTTGGCAGCTGCCAGGATCCTCTCCTCTACCGAGTTTACAGTAACCAGCCTCAGCACCCGTACTTCGTTTTGCTGTCCAATTCGATGGGCTCTGTCTTGAGCTTGTAAATCCTATCATTAAAAACATTTATTACACCTCAATTAAAGATGACAACTTTTTCAAAAGAAAATTATAACATATAAAACAATGAAACTACATTTATTTTTCAGAAATAAAAAGTAAAAATAGTTCCCAAGACTAAATTTGTTTTATTTATTTAATACTGGTTTATTCAAATGTCTGTGTACGAAAAAATTTTTGCAGTTTGCTGTGAAATTTTAAACAAGTTTTTCAAGCTCACCTTTTGTCTCTTTAAATACTACACATTCAATAGTGTTTAATATATTTTTATCTATAATTTTAGTTTAAAAATACGCATATTTATATAACTCCAAGTTGTAATATCTTTAAAATATGAGGTACTTCTTTAGGCTTACCGTGTCAAATTTTCCTTGGTTACCACTTAAATAAACTTCATTCACTACTTTAAGACAAAATGAAACTCCTATATAATACTAAGAAACATAAAATAAGGGATAATTAAACATTATCAAATGCATAATGTATACATTAACTGTTACGGCACGAACTAGTTTAATTCACAATGACTTTGCAACACTGAATAAATAGGTCTAGTTTAGTGAACAGATTTGTTCTCATAGTCTTCTAATAAAATGTTAACCTGGTGTGGATTCCAGTCTGAGTCAAATATAACGACAGTGTCTGCAGCTTGAAGGTTCAAACCCAGTCCACCAGCTCGGGTACTCAGAAGAAACACAAAATATTTAGAGCCGGGGTCATTAAACTTTGCCAGGAGTTGACCTCGGTCCTCAGCTTTGGTTGTACCATCCAGACGCAAATACATATAACCTAGTACGTAAATAAATGTTGTTTATGCAAATAATTTAATTTTTTTTTTAAATACAAGTACTTCTGGTACATCTTTAATTTATTCATACCTCAATGAAATATCTTAAAAGAAAAACATTTACTAAACAAAAAGTCTGACAGACCCAAAGTAAAAATAAACTTGATGATTTTTAAAAGCATTTGAATAATATATTTTAGGGAATTAATGTTTCTTTAAGTTGAACTTAAACATATTTTAACATTAATATACATTTTCAATAACTCTTATGCAAGAATATTTAATTGCATATATACACAGATATATATATATACTCTATACAAAAGAAACTCAGTAACTATTCTGTATTTATCTTCATGACACTGGGTTTCCAATCTTGAGGTACAACAAAAATCCTCGTCAATATACAAAAAATTAGTCCAAAAATATTCTTCAATAAACTGAAAAACTACTCATTCATTAATGTTATAGCTAAATGGAAATTATAATTATATGGCTTGATTAATCCAACTATTGTGGAATGAGTGAGTGATCATAAAAACCGTGGACGTGACGTACCTTGCTTTGGAAAGCTGAGTAGATTACATAGAACTAATCAACATCTCTACCCATTATTACTAGATGCACTCTCAATAGAATAAAATTCAGAAATAATTCACTAATTTTTAATGGGTATTTTCAAGAATTATTTAGATGTTTTTTCTACACAAATGTAGTACTTCACCCATTGATTTTTCTAACCCGTGTACCAATTGGTCAACGTCTAATTATGACATAGTCCCTGTTGTATGGCACTTTCTGACTGGATCAAGCTGCATAAGAACTGATGGTTATCATACATCGTGCAATTCACCTCTGGTACACAATGTTGCAACCTAAGTTAAATGGTGCCTATGCAACCAATGAGTGGATGAAATAATCTCGGTGAGCAAAGAAACACGACACTGCATATTGTTAGGTTTAAAAAAAACAATGGTACACAATGTTGCAACTTAAGTTAAATGGTACCTAGGCAACCAATGAGTAAATAAAATAATCTCTGTAAGCAAAAAAACACGACACTGAATATTGTCAGGTTTAAAAAATAACAATGGTACATAATGTTGCAACCTAAGTTAAATGGTGCCTAGGCAACCAATGAGTAGATGAATTATCCCAGTCCTATGTAGTTTTCTCAAATGTTTCCAGTCATCAAAATTATTAAATGAAATTTCCTAATTTCGAGAATGTACATATCCTTCATGTATGTGGTTGGGAGTATGTTTTATGTGGAAACCCTGTATATATCCTTCATGTATGTGGGTGGGAGTATGTTTTATGTGGAAACCCTGTATATATCCTTCATGTATGTGGGTGGGAGTATGTTTTATGTGTGGAAACCCTGTACATATTTTTCATGTATGTGGGTGGGAGTATGTTTATGTGTGGAAACCCTGTATATATCCTTCATGTATGTGGGTGGGAGTATGTTTTATGTGTGGAAACCCTGTACATATCCTTCATGTATGTGGGTGGGAGTATGTTTTATGTGTGGAAACCCTGTACATATATATCTTTGATAAGTGTGTGTTAATATACATTATACAACAACTTTACTTATGAATAAACAGGATCAAGGTAACACTGAATTTCACCCAACACTAATATTTTTAAACAAACCTCTATAATTCATGTAATCCTCCATAATTGTCATTAAAGATGTCATTTGACAGAAGAGCAAGATACGGTGGTTCATGGTGTATAGTTTAGGGATTATACGATCAAGAAGTTCAAATTTCCCAGAAACTCTGTAGATGTCAGGACTGAATAAGAAAAAAAAATGGTCAAATTACTTTTTTTTCAATATTCTAATCTACACCTATGTTCTTTGTTTATAATTAACTAATCATATAATGTTTCAGAATGATTAAACATAAAAACATTACAACTCCATAATAATGTGCTATTTAAAAAACGTCATCATTAAATTTAGCCATCCATCTGTTTTAAAAGCTCGTCAAGGTACAGACATATAACATGTTATACCGATAAGAATATACAGACTGCTGGTTGCCACTACCACTTCTCAAACTCATCACCAGGTGCAGGTGGAATCAGCAGAAATGAATCCATTCTATTTTTATTTCACTGAATATACTGTTTTATGAATAAAAATAACTTACTGGAATGAAAATACTTGCTGTTTATTAACGTCTGAAACAAAACTAAACACTGAATTTCACCTAACACTAATATTTTTAAACAAACCTCTATAATTCATGTAATCCTCCATAATTGTCATTAAAGATGTCATTTGACAGTAGGCCATGTACAGGGTGGATTTTTAAACAAATAAATACAGAGAAATTAGTTTACCGTGTGAAAGACTGATTAAAAGTGTGTTAGCTTTGCAATAATTATCAAATTTCACTCAAAAAATAAAGGAAGAATGACAATGGAAAATCACAACACTTCCTAACTGTGTGTAATAGATCTTCAGGCAATGCATCCAGGTAGGGAAAACAATTGTTTATTTGCACAGTAAAGAAAAAATTAATTCCAAAACAAAGCCACTTTCATTATGAGTCATTAGTTTTTTTTAATGATACATATACTGCAGACTTCAGTGTACTGCACACGTATACTGTAGACTTCAGTGTACTGCACACGTATACTGTAGACTTCAGTGTACTGCACACATATACTGTAGACTTCAGTGTACTGCACACATATACTGCTGACTTCAGTGTACTGCACACATATACTGCTGACTTCAGTGTACTGCACACATATACTGCTGACTTCAGTGTACTGCACACATATACTGCATGACTTCAGTGTACTGCACACATATACTGCAGACTTCAGTGTACTGCACACATATACTGCAGACTTCAGTGTGTTGCACACATATACTGCAGACTTCAGTGTGTTGCACACATATACTGCAGACTTCAGTGTGTTACACACATATACTGAAGACTTCAGTGTACTACACACATATACTGAAGACTTCAGTGTACTACACACATATACTGAAGACTTCAGTGTACTACACACTTTTTTTAAATCAAAAATTGCTGCTCACATGATCCACCTGGGGGCTTGTTCATCAAGCAACTATTACAACAACTATTACGAGTTCTCGCATTCTATTATCTCTTCCAATGAAATTTTATATAGACAAACAATCATTAAATGACTAAAAATACAGATATTTAAATATCAGAAAACACGTTCTAGAACTGGCAGTTTAAAATAAACACATCATCTGAACTTCTAATAAATAAAACAGTCTCCATTCTTATTTCATACATAACAGTTTCAATTTATCTAAATTCAAAAGAAAAAGAAATATGTTTTTAACATAAGGGGATTAATAAGTCTAAGCCAGAATTTTCTGGAAATTATTTTTAAACAAACTTTCTAAAAATAAAAATGCTGGGTATACATGCACGTTAAGATCATGTTGGAATTGTAACAGAATAATTATTTTATTCTTGAAAAAACCACCTTTATATAAGTACCTGAAACTTATGCATGTAGCTACATATGTAAATAAATAAAATACATTCTACAATTTGTAAATGCTCTACAGTAACTTAAATGTTTGGGTATTTCTATTAAAATATAAAAAAATCCACAAGATCCAGAAATTTAATATGACATTTTTATAAAAACACTTAATAGGTATCGTAACTTAATATCAGCTAAAATTATGTGAACAACTCATTTTCCTCAATACTTTATGATACTAGAATGTAATTTTTGTAACAACACGTACATATACATATATGTGTGCGTGTTTGTGTTCATGTATATTTAAAAAAACTGATGTGTATATAATGAGACCCATAATTAGTGGCCTTTATTGCAACAGTACTTCTTTAAGTACAGGATTTCTAGAAAAATACAAAAGAATTATAAAGAAAGACACAGAAATCTACTCATCTTAGGCCTAACGTTAGTTAAGCCTTTATTACGTACGTTTTATATTCGATAAAGAAGATAAATCAACACTGTAATTTGAGTATATTTTTTGCTTTAGTTTAGTTAGGGCTAAACTTTACCTTACTTAATACTATCAATACATAAACTTATAATTTTATTCTATGACCTAATGTTTGATTTTTTAAAAAACTTTGATACACTTTTAATATGTTGTTGCACAAAATGTCTACTAAAGTATATTTAACATCCATCTTTTGTTTACGTTGCTGTAATGGATTGCATACGCATTTTCAAGGTAGACAAAAACTGACTGTTATTATCAGAATGTATATATGTATGTGTGTGTATGGACAATTTTTCCTCATTATGTGAAGCACCAATTATCTTGCATGGAGGAAAAGAACTGCAATGCCAGTAGGAAAGGCAGAAAACGTCATGCAGAATTAAATCTCAATCTCTGGCACTGACTGAGTTGAAGAAATAGACTGAACAAAAAGTACAACAAAGCAAAAATCATTTTTAGTTATTTCAACACAAAGCTGATGAGACAAGTTCATGGGGTGACACATAACACTATTCTGTAAAATCTAGAGAGAGCTATTCAGAAAAAACAAAACAAAACACCTGCATAAAACTGAGAGTGAAACTATAGAGAGAGAACAACAGTCTCATCTGTCCAAGTGTTCATACACTATCCACATCACATCTGTTCAACTCATAAATAAACAATCTCTACACGGCTGATCTCAGTAGAGAACATACACAGTAATAAACTACACAGAATTGCAATGACACCTTCTTTGGGAAGCACCAAAGATGAACAACCTATGACAATGTGTAACTAGAACACCAGTAAGTTAGCCATATTCTATAACAAATTCTTCTACACATTGAGTATATGCAAATATGTGCATGTGTCTAAACAAAAAAGGAAAGGAAACCCATTTTATCAACACACTATATCAGAAGTACAAGTGATCCTGTTCTCACACACTCTTTCTATTCAAACTAATAATCTCTCTCTGACAGCAAACCTCCCCAAAATATTTAATATCAGTTCAAAGGTTCATGCTTATACCTTTTGCTGTATATTCAATACATTGGTATATTAGTGAACCTGACCTAGCTTTATAAAAATCATCTTCAAATTGTAAATTATTTTTCTTTAAGTTTTGTGGAAAAAAAAAATTAATTTTCATGGTGTACAAGCTACACATGAACTCATTGAAAGACTACTCATAGCTTTGGAAGATGAATGATATCCAATATTTTACACAACCCAAATGAGGCAGGTTTTACTTTTAAAAAATGATTGAAGTATGAGTAAATGAAGTTGTATTTCATCAATTGAATTATGATTCTAATTCAATTACAGCGAGTCCAACTTCAAGTAATATCTTTCAAAATTTAAATGTCCTAGTTTTATGGTATAAAACGGCAGTTTGTTCAGTTACTTATCTGTACTAGACAAAGCAGTATTCTGGACTTAACTAATATTTAAAATAAATGTTCTTTCAGTGTCTCAAAAGTTTAAGTATTTATTCTCTGTAACGTTTCAGTTTTATAGAATTTCGGCAAACAGTCTTCAACTCTGTACAACCGCAGCAAAAAGAGGACCACATTTAAAATATTAGCAAGAGTGAAAATATGAAAGTTTCATTAACAAAGCAAAAAATAAGTAAAAAATCCAGCAAGTTTTTTAACTCTTACCCATGAACTATTCCCCCAGATATTCCTAGATGTTCAGCATAAGCTTCTTCAATGTGTTGGAACATGAAAGGGTGATTACAGATCTTTCTCAGCTGCATGATTGTGTTCATTAGAGTCTTAGTTCCACCTTTGCCCTAATGAAACAAACCAAGAAGGCTTTTCCATCATTTACCAAACACTGTAATGAACATGGTAACAGATTTTCTCTTCCACATAAAAAAAAAAGAAAATTGTAATTTATTATTAGTGAACTTCTGATGGTTGTTGTAAATATAGTTGTTCACCATTCCTTAAATACTGTAATAAAAAACATAGGATTATTTCTCTTCCAATAAAATTCAATGTTTCTTACTATTGCATTCAGAAAGGAGTTTCTTTTTTTTTGTATTTCAAAGAAATCATGTACAATAACAGAAAATGAACAACTATTGAGTCAATTACATGTTACTTGTGAAAAGTTAAAAATCTAGAAAAACAAAATTATACTATTTTATCAGAGTAATTATGTTGTTTTAAATATAGAAATCACTCACTATTTTATTCTAAATTCGACAAATAACAAGAAAGTATGGAATCAAACTCCCCTTCCCCAAGGAAATATTTCATCATTAATTACAATTGTGTTACTGAAAAATTTCCATGTCGATTCATATTATCTGTAAGTGTAGTAATAATAGATAATCGCAAAAACAGAAGCGAAGGAAAAAAAGGGTAAAGTGAAACACAACCAATCATAACCTCGACACACCTCCTTTCAATGCTTAAAAGTTAGTTACTTTCCTATTCACAACTCAAATTATAGAAAATCAATGGATAATAGCAACAAACTGAGCATCAAATATTGCTCTACTCTTTTTCAAAAGTTAAGTGCAAATGAAGCACACAGATATTGTAATGAACCAAAACACAACAACAACATGAAAATGTAGAAATACAAATATATAACTTAAGCTAGTACGTGATGTTCTGAAAACCACTGGAAAAGAATACACAAAGCAAATATTTCTTGTAACTGTATGAAACATATTAACTCTCAAATTATCAACTCCTTTTTATGCCATTCACAACAAGTCGACATACTGCATTATAGTGAGCAATTTTATACTTTTGGTTACCTCAACACTTGGTGTCAAGAACCGACCAATAATAGGTGAAATCATTCATTTTATATGTAAGATACATCGGGGAATCCAAAAATAATTAGTGGGATTAAATGCAATATTGATAGGATGTTTTGTTTAAATTCTTATGTGCGACTCGTGTACGACTAGCATTACTACAAACCATTTTGATACATAAATGGCTCAGCAACATTTTTTTAAAAACTTGAAGAATCTCAACAGTAATTCTGGTATTAAAACTAGTAATATACCTTTTTGTCCTTCTCTGACCCGTCAGTCAGAAGTATACCCTTATTCTGCATGTGTTGATATAGCAGCCGTTGAAGGGCAGACATGTCGCACTTGACAACATACTCAACCTACAGAACACACAAAACTTCAATAACAAAGTTAACATACATAAGTAATTATTCATAAAATTTTTTTATTGCTGCAGTTCGTTTTATTCATTGTTAGTAATCATGTTGCTTGCAATATATTTAAACTTCTAAAACAATTAGTAACACCATAATGTTTTTGCAAGGTTAATTAATAAAACATTGATTTATGTAAAGGGTGTTAAATTTCTAAAGATCCTGATGTATATATGCTTAGATTAAAGTATCATATTTTATGTAATTTATCTTTAAAAATAATATATATATATCATCACAGCATTATTTCATATAATTTGAATAAACATCATATACATATATATCAAATTGCTGCCTAGCCACATTTTTTACATCATCGATATATCAAATAAACACCATTCATATTTGTTAAAAAGCAAGTTCTGACAGATATAACAAGTTGATGAATGTTCAATTATATTATCATGTCCAACCACACCTTTGAAGACAATACAATCAAAGATAGATTATTTTAAGTACCGGATATAAACTGTTTATATCAAATAAACACCATTCATATTTGTTAAAAAGCAAGTTCTGACAGATATAACAAGTTGATGAATGTTCAATTATATTATCATGTCCAATCACACCTTTGAAGACAACACAATCAAAGATAGATTATTTTAAGTACCGGATATAAACTGTTCGTACGGTTAATAGTCTATACATTCACCTGCATCTAAACATTAATTAGTTATTAACTAGATTTTGTTTAATTACAAGATACAAATTAATTTATATCCTACATTCTGACTGCTAATCTTCTGCCATCTTCAGAAAAGTCCTCAGAAGGACTGTTATTTGTCATGGTATTTGATCCTGAATCTTCTCGATCTGATTCATTAGGACTAGAATCAACTAACTACTTGTAGAGGAACATCAATATTTTGTTAACGAGATTAACTGAATCTAGATGTAGAAGACATTATTTAACTTTCTTTTTCTCCTGTGTAGTTAATATTACTTTGTATTACACAATTTTATTGTTCTTTTCTGGAAATTAGTCCTTAGACATCAGCAGATTAGCAGGCTTAACATAGGGAAAAAAAAACTAGTTTAATAGTAACGAATATATACTAATTGGAAAAACATGGTAACTAATTAATAATTAGAACCAGGTGATCATATAGGCTACTAACCATGATAATGAAATTATTTTTATTAATACACAAGCAATATTTTTACAATAACATTTTTTACACAAGCAAGTATATTTTGAGTCTTTTCAACTTAATGAATAAGAAACCTTCTTAAAGTTTTAACACTGTACATTACAACTATTATACCATCTCCAATCTTGTCAGGTTATTCAAGAGTCACAAAACAGGGAAAAGGTCACATGGGATACATCTCTTTACTAATGTATTTCAACAGTTACATTAGTCAATCAAATTAAAATCGTTCTGCAGAAAAAATTTTTAACATTTAAAATTATTATCTTTTAATTGATAGATTTAATCTATTAGTCATGTTCCCCCTAAATTTATTAATAGTTTCTTATAAAAAAATTCTTTAATACATAACACTGAAATTATTTGTATTTTTTGTTTCCAAACGTTTGGGGTTAGCAAAGCTACACAAATGTAAAACCTAAGTATGAAATGATAGACTAGACTCAGTGCAGCTGGTCATCAGCACCCCTGCCAACTCTTGGGCTAGTCTTTTTTGATCAAATAGTGTGATTTGCCATCACTTTTATAACACACCTACAGCTTCAGTGTATGGAACACAATTTTTCTTCGGTAAACTGTAAAACTTGGATCTCCAGATTTACAGTCTAGCCAAACAAACGCCAACAAATCCTCAACTTTGCAAAGTGATGAGGATATGGAGGTTAGTAAATGAATCAAAACAGTCTTGCACTATTATGACAAGACATGTAAAACATACATATAAGTAATAACTTGTGGAATTACACTCAGGTGTTGCTTTACACATAACATTAAATGATTATCTCTTTAACAATGTACCTATAGGTTCCTAATTTAAACAACCCTACCTTTTCCGGCAACTGAGATTCCACCTCTTTCTTCATGCGTCTCAGTAAGAAAGGACGTAGCACTTTATGGAGTCGTCGAATGATTAGGATGGTTTCTTCTTCGTTTAATTCCACCTTAAAATACACGAAATTATTTTAACTCTTTCTGTACAACTGGGTCAAAGGTCATGACCTTTTAGAGATTCATTCAAAATCTAATTTAACAACTTTATTATCGATGTATGTCAATAAACTTAGCATCAAAACATAGTTTATAATTCATATTTTTGTATTGAATTCCTTACTTCCAAAATGAAATATAAAAATAATCTCAATCTTTACTTCTCTGTGTCACATCTCACTCTGAATTCTCCTTTATAAATTTATATCCTAATATGGCTTTCAGGGTGTCTCTGCAATTACAAACACAAACTATACATAATTACAAGCACAAACATGAAATCCGAACCTATTACCTTCTTCATAAGCTTTTCAAAACCATCAGAAAACCTCCTCCCCTTCTTGTCTATCTTTTATTTTTAGTCTTTGCTAATAGTCTTTAAAAGGTTGACAGACATGTTTATAACCAATAGAAAGAGCATTTTTTTTTTTCCTCTATAGAAATTTTAAAGAACTTCATTCATATTTTTCAAAAAAATAATTAGTTAGCAGAAGTATCTGGTTTTGGTTATTGTACTTCTTTGCTCCGAGGACTGAGAGTTTTTAACGTAATTAGAGCTTACTTAGAAAACCAGATAGATTATAGTACTTTTGGGACATACTAGTCCAGTGCCCGATATATTTGTTTTTGTTCTAAAATGCATATTCGAAAGTTACATTAATTTCTATTTAAACAACTAAATAACTTTGTTTGTTTGTTTTGAATTTCGCGCAAAGCTACACGAGGGCTATCTGCACTAGCCTTCCTTAATTTAGCAGTGTAAGACTAGAGGGAAGGCAGCTAGTCATCACCACCCACCGCCAACTCTTGGGCTACCCTTTTACCAATGAATAGTGGTGTTGACCATCACATTATAACACCCCCACAGCTGAAAGAACAAGCATGTTTGGCGAGATGAGGATTTGAACTGGCAACCCTCAGATTGCGAGTCAAGCGACCAAGCCACCTGGCCATGCTAGGCCTTTTTAAAGGCAAGCTTAGGACCAAAAATTAGTTTCAAAGAACTGTCAGATATATGTATCTATTATAAAATTATCTTTTAACAAAAATTAATTTCATACAATTATCATGTATACTTCTATTATAAATTTCACTATAAACAAAAATACTTTACGTTAATATTAAGTTCCTACGCAAATGTAAGAATTTGGGTTCAACAATTAAGATTTGGTCTTTAAACTCAAAGCATATTAAAGAAACTTTTTTTGAAACAGGATAATTTCTAGTTTCATGATGTTAGAAAAACACGTACGTTCAAGAAGTCTTGATAGAAATGAATAAAAACCCTATAATCCGAGCACTTTCAAAATATATCTTTGAAGCCACTTACTAAACCATACAAATACAGAGTTAATGCAAAGTTCAAGATAAGTAATTTAATTCAGAAATAACAACGATCACAATACCTTCTCTCCAGTAGTAGCAAAAGGAGCATTAAACCACTGTTCAAAAGTAGCACAAGATTTAAAGATGCTTGGGAGAAGGAAGTTTAGAAGAGCCCAGAGTTCTGGAAGTTTATTCTAATATAGAAAGAAACAGAAAAACAACAACAACTTATTTCTTTTTAATTTTTATAAAGAAACGAAACTAATTTACCACCGTTAATAATCTTACTAATGATATAATTTAAGAAAACAGATGTTCGTCCATCAGGGTTGCACCTGGTTGAGCCAATTTTTTCTCATGGTCAGGTCTATGTAGTTTTATCCAGGGTGCAGTCATTTGATCCGTTAAAAATTTATGTCCCTGAAGCTGTAGATATTAAATATGTTGTTTGCAAAGAAATCTTGTAAGCAACCTTTCCAATATGAAATCGATAGTCTTCAGTTTTGAACTGTGGCTTGAAATACCACATCTATATATGTTTTGTCAAATTTCGACAAATTCTGCCACCAGAATGATATCCTTTTGGAAAATAGATGTCTGTATGTCCATTGCATATGAATATAAAGAATAATAAAAATAATAGAAAAAGTAACCCATAAAAAACAATTAGATGATAAGCATAAAGCCAACCAAGAGCAACTCTTATGAATGCTTGTTAATTTTTGTGTGTATGTGTTGTTAACATCTAACAAAAAAAATTTCTACTGTCAAATTTTTAGATTATAATTTTCATGTAATATTGTAGCAGCAAAATCATCTCTTAAAACTAATTTTCAAAGTATTGTTTATGTCATTTTATGCTGATAAAATATATGATAAATTTTTTAAAGAGAATGCACGTGTAATAAGTATGCTTGAACATTTTTTATGTTTTTATTTGAATATTCAATAGGTTTACTGTGTAATTTTCTAAAATTTTTACAAATTCAATGTGTTGTTGAACTTTGATAATTCTGTTAACAATCACAAAAACATGAATGACTAATTCAAGCTTTTGAAAGACGGTTGTTATTAAGTAGTTCTGCTGTTAAGTACGTAAACAGGGATGACTAACTCAAGTTTTTGAATGACGGCTGTTATTAAGTAGCGTAAACAGAGATGACTAATTCAAGTTTTTGAATGACGGCTGTTATTAAGTACGTAAACAGGGATGACTAACTCAAGTTTTTGAATGATGGCTGTTATTAAGTGCGTAAACAGAGATGAGTAATTCAAGTTTTTGAAAGACGGGTGTTATTAAGTAGTTCTGCTGTTAAGTACGTAAACAGGGATGACTAACTCAAGTTTTTGAAAGACGGTTGTTATTAAGTACGTAAACAGGGATGACTAACTCAAGTTTTTGAATGACGGCTGTTATTAAGTGCGTAAACAGAGATGACTAATTCAAGTTTTTGAATGACGGCTGTTATTAAGTGCGTAAACAGGAATGACTAATTCAAGCTTTTGAAAGACAGTTGTTATTAAGTAGTTCTGCTGTTAAGTAAGTAAACAGGAATGACTAATTCAAGTTTTTGAATGACTGCTGTTATTAAGTACGTAAACAGGAATGACTAATTCAAGCTTTTGAAAGACAGTTGTTATTAAGTAGTTCTGCTGTTAAGTACGTAAACAGAGATGACTAATTCAAGTTTTTGAAAGACAGTTGTTATTAAGTAGTTCTGCTGTTAAGTACGTAAACAGGGATGACTAATTCAAGTTTTTGAAAGACAGTTGTTATTAAGTAGTTCTGCTGTTAAGTACGTAAACAGGGATGACTAATTCAAGTTTTTGAATGACGGCTGTTATTAAGTACGTAAACAGGGATGACTAACTCAAGTTTTTGAAAGACGGTTGTTATTAAGTAGTTCTGCTGTTAAGTACATAAACAGGGATGACTGATTAAAAGCTTTGAAGGTGGGGTGAATACTCACGGTATCAACATTACCAAAGATGGTTTTTAGTTTTAAAAGAACTTTTATAGAGATCATGTCTCAGTGACCAAATATTCAATTTTGTGATTAGATAACAGTGCAAAATGAGTGAAATAACAAAACTCTAAACATTTGGTCAAATTTTGACACGTTCTACTAGTAGTCTTTATAAAACCTAAAAAAATTAACACATTAACAAAGTTATTAATAATTATTAATTAATAATTGTTCAATAATTCTTGCATTTATTTATTTATTTGTTATTTTGTATATTTTTAATAATAATACAGCAGATGGTGTAGAATATATCTGGGAATACAAATAATACTCTTTCCTTTATAAAACAACAGCTATCAGTTACACTGCTTGTTTTTAGTTAAGCACAAAGCTACACAATGGGCTATATGTGCTCTACCCACCTCAGGTAGTGAAACCCACTTTCTAGTGGTACGAGTCCACAAACATACCACTGTGCTACTGGGGAGCATCAGTTACATTGAACCATTATTAACTGATCTGGTAAGAATATATCTTAATTTGGAAGTATCACAGTTAAAAAAAAAAACAAGAAAGGAAACCAAATTGTCACAGTCCCATGAATAATGTTTTTTGACAATTAAACCAAAAACAAAAAGTTTAATACTAGTCCTTTTGAAATTTTGGACAGTACATTCCATTTTTCATTTTTTCTGATTTATCTAGACTTCTTCAATGTTATTAATTATTCATACAGGTATGCGTCTGTTACAAGGTCCGGAATATCCAGTTTTACTTATCAGTTTCAATAACCTCTTTTATTAACTTATATTTTTTAATTCTCTTTCTATGCTTTTCTGTGTTTTTTTTTATCAAGAGTAACTATTTCCACAACTGGCTGCTGATAGTGAATGGTAGCTGTTGATGTGGGATGTTGTGGACTTAGGAATCCAAACCTTTTCCTAATGAAAACTTTTTGATTCAGTATTCAGTCCTACATTTATTTCATATGCGAGGCTACCCAAATTAGTCAGTGTATATGTGTGTTTGTGTCCTAGTTCTTTAAATAACTCTCCTACTGGGATAGATTTTACCGTTCCCACATTGTAGTTCTACCCAAATATTGTTTGTCTGTCCATTAGTTTCTAATATATATATATATATACATGTATAAAATATTTACAGTACAAAATCACTTAAAAATAAGAGGCATTTTTATACTAAAACAAAGATTATTTTATGGTAGTAATGTGAAGTAAGACTTAGTATGACCATTAGGAAATTCATCAGAAATACTTAAATTACAAGGAAGTAAATTCTTTCGCTTCTACTCTTTATTTTTTCTTTATTTCAAGTGAATTTTTGTAAAACTTTACTTTAAATACAGCTCTTTTAAATTGGATTTCGATATCAGAGCTACACAATTTTTTATATCAAAAAGAGACAATCTATAACTAAGTTCTTCATGCAGTAGTATCTGTTGAGAAACAGGGAGAAGATATTACTTATTTAAACCAAAAAAAATAAAAACTCTTACTAGTTTGAGGCCAATAATTTACTGTTGACCAACAAATCTTTAAATTGATTTAATTACCAATGTGCATTATGACTGAATGTGAAATATTCTAACTGTTGTTTTGTTTTTCACCTGCAGTGGAGTTCCTGTGAGTAGAAGACGATGTGGTGCAGTGTAATGCGTGTTCAATATCTGGGTAAGCTTACAGTGGTGGTTCTTCATTCGATGTCCTTCATCGATAATCATGTACTTCCAGCGAATCTATAAAATAGACGATTTTCTGTTTAATTACACATCCGTACTCAGTGATATGATACAAATGTAAAGTAGTTATGATATAAATATCCGTGTATAATTTGTTCGTTTTATCTTTCTATTGGTGGAAAACTGTTTTTCTTTGAATTTCTTACTTAAATAGGTCTATATTACACAAAAAAATATTTTTCATCAAATATATTTTGGAAAGTTATCAACGTGTATGTTACCTAGAAGTATCATTGTTCAGTTAAGGAACCAACAAAATATTCCATGGTTTATTTAAACTGTTACCTGGAAGTAAGAGTATTCAACTGATTTGTTAACCATACATTACAATGTGCTATAGAAGGTGGTAAAGTAGCTTATCGAGATTCAAATAATCAATCTTACACAGCATGTGGAGTTCACAATTTTATTAAAAGTTGATTACCTTTAAGAGTAATTCACAACTCTAGCCAGAGGACAACTTAAACTGATGCGCAACGAGAATAAATTTGCATCCAATTTTATAAATTAAGAAGTCTTAGTAATTCACACAAGTACAAAATGATCTAACTAAGCCTACCTCATGAAAATATTTCATTTCCTATGATAATTTAAATGATTTATAAAACGATAATATCAAGCTTTTTGCAAGTTAAACAAACAAAAAGTCACGACTGTAATTATAACAGAAGTTGTTCACAAACATGTTTTCATTTAGTAATATTTTACAAAGCTAAGCTTTTATCGCTTTGTCCTGATCTCTAGGAGAATCTTCCCTGAACTGGTAGCCATACTGACTTATACAGTTAAAAACAACAGAAAAAGTTAGAGCTTTCATTAAGTAGGTCACTAACCTACGACTTTTTTGAGCTTTCATCAAGTAGGTCACTAACCTACGACTTTTTTGAGCTTTCATCAAGTAGGTCACTAACCTACGACTTTTTTGAGCTTTCATCAAGTAGGTCACTAACCTACGACTTTTTTTTAGCTTTCATCAAGTAGGTCACTAACCTACGACTTTTCAAGTCTGATATACAGACAATTACATAGCACATAATAATCAAGATTGAGAAATAGTAACTAGCTAAAAAACAGTAAAATTACAGTTGTATTTAATTAATTGATACTATTTTATTCAAAACTTTTACATATTTTTCCTGTTAGGGGGCCAAGACTCATGCTTATGCTCAAAAAAACACTCAGGAAATTCACAAACATTAATGATACCTTTCAGAGCTCACTCAAATCAACACAAAATCAAATGTGCAATTATTATTATTTTTGTGTATAAAATTAAATAAATAATTTATTTTAATGTATGGAAGAGTGTTTGCAAGTTTATTTTCTATCATTTTGTAATTTTAATGGTAAAATTTCACCCTCACAGCAGGATGCACCCATCCGGGTATTAAGAGAGTTGAGATTTCTGTAAAAACAAGTGAACATTTAAATTTTACATTTCTTGAAAGAAAATGAATTTCAAACAGACTTTCTGAAAGCCTTTCCTTGTTGAGTTTGAGCTCACGCTTTCAACGAAAAAATGTAATACAAAATATCCAAGATTTCCTTTATGCAATGCAGAACATCTATCACTTACCCATAATTCCATGCAAGTTATTGTGAAATAATTTAGATTTTTCACCCTTGCTATGACTTTTTTTTTAATATCCTCGATCTGCTTCTGCTATTCTTGGAATTTCTACAAATTCGTTGGTGGCCTTACATAATTTGCTTGTAGTGTGCAGAGTAAAATTGCAAAGACATTTTTAGCCCTTGTGGTATTTGTATTCCATATTCTTGCTATTCTATACTTATGTTCCTGGCAGTAATTTGCATAACCCTTGCCATTTTCTTTTGTTTTTGATGAAGGTTGATTTTGTACTTAGGGCTAATCACCTTCAGAACTGTAAAACTAGCTTTGTCTAATACAGTGCTAGCCCTAATCATGATGACACTTTTGCTGGTCTCATTTCTTTTTCTCAGTGTTTGTGTCATTTCTGTACTTGAATATTTTGTTTCTTCCACATTCTCATGATATTATGATTGTAGATACTACACTTTGATCCATCATCAGTTCTATAATTTTTGTTTTGAGACCTTCTTTTTCTGTACAATTACTAGTTATTCTCCTCGCGTATCTATCTTGACATCTTTATTACCTATAGGTCTCATTGCTATTGTTTCTATTAACACATGGTTCTTATTCTCTTATTTTCATTTGCTTAAAATAAGATTAGATTTTCTTTTTTGCAGGCACTACTTTAGCTTACCTTGTTTCTAGGAAGCTTGCGAGCAAGTTTTTAGGGTTTTAACACCTTGTTTAGTTCCTCATGCCCTTCTAAAGCTGCGTATGTAATATTTTTTTATGGTCACTACATTTTAGCATGGCCTAGTGTTGATTTAAGCAAGGTGGATCTTTATGACTCACTCACTCTCTGTTCTGGATGACTCCTCTATCCAGATTTTTTGGGAGTCAACTCAGATTTTTGTCCATCTATGGACCTTGAGCTTTGTGTTCATCCAGATTCTTCATATGAATGTTTTATTCATCATCCAAATTTGACTCTTACAGTTCCTTTTTTGATTTTTGATATGGCAGTTCTGAACATTTTCCACAACAAAGGGATATCGCTGTTGTACTTCTTACTTCCGCAAGGTTTTTACTCTCATGTCACAAGAAATTTTTAGCCATATATCTTGTTGAAAGCACGAGTTCCAAATCAACAAGGCAAGGCTTTCAACATTTTAGAGGTAATTCTACCTGGATTAAATCCTCAGATAACTCTGAAATATAAAACCGAAACACATTATAGTGTCCTCTTGCTAGTGAAATATTTATTTATTTATAAACACTATAAACAAATATACTTTTAAGTCAATTATTACAGTGTACCATATGGCTGCTATTAAAAACAAAAAGATACCTTACCTTTGCCAAAACTGATTTGTCTTTGATGACATACTCATACGTTGTCAGGAGAACATTCAGTTTGCTGTTTCTCATCTGTCCCGCAATTTGTCGCCTGATGTTAGGAGATCCTTTGTAGGCTACTTTAATCACTGTAGGTGCCCATCTGTCGAACTCCAACATCCAGTTTGAAAGGGTCCTGCACAAATAACAGTGCCTTTACTAGCACGTTTACCACAGACTACAATTTTGGAGTCTATCATGAAAATAAATGTTAGACTGAAAATACTCATTAAAAAAATCCTTGTTCCTGTAATATGAATCAATGGTTCAACAAAATATTTTGTTTCTTTGTTGTTAAGCAAAAAGCTATACAGTGGGCCAACAAAATATTTAATAACTACCATCAAAATTACATCCTCCTCTAGATACACTGAATAGAAGTAATGAATACACTAAAGCTCCTATATTCAAAGAAACAAAAAATAATTGATCACATTCTACACTTGAGAACATACTTGGTAAAAATTACATAAATTTAGATATAAAAATTTTATGTTCTAAACAGTTACCAAATACTTAAATTAATAAAAATATTTTATTATAAAATAATAAAAATTGCTGATTTCTTAAAAATGTTATTTTAAGTGTCATCCGCTGTTTAAAGCAACATCTATTTTTTTTCTATAAGTACACTGTTTTGTGCTCAACAAGTATTAATCCACTGTTTAAATGATGAAGTACTATTTAAATATACATAGATTCTTTTTGTATCTCTTTGTGAGAATACTTTGACAATGATAAAATAGCATAACAACCTTATAGCTACTTTTTTTATTTTTTTTAAAGTTAAAACTATGAAATTAAAAGTTCGTATGTAGACCTAATTGAAAACTGGTAAAAATAAATACATGATAGTGGCACTGAAATGTCTATGGACCACATTTGCCTGGAGTTTAGAAGTGGGGAGCATTTTGGACTCTCTGCTTAGGCCTTCAGCCTAAATGATTAAGTCTCTCTGAGCAGTATAGCACGATCTTGTTAGAAAGATTTAGCTGCTGCATGCTAACGTATCACATCTTCAGCTATGTAATTTCACTGATAGAGGGTAAATACTGTTGGAGAGCTTTGGTTTTATCACCATATTTAGGCTATTTGTACAGGACAGATACTCAAACTTGTTAGTCTTTGGAATCTTGTGCAAAGCTACTCGAGGGCTATCTGCACTAGCCGTCCCTAATTAAGAAGTAATAGGCTAGATGGAAGACAGCTAGTTATCACCACCCACTGCCAACTCTTGGGCTACTTTTTTACCAACGAATAGTGGGATTGACCATCACATTATAACGCCCCCACGGCTGAAAAGGCGAGCATGTTTGGTGGGACGGGGATTCAAACCCACCCATTGACATGTCTTGAGGCACTCTATTATCAACAAAAAGTTGGGTTGATCATCACACTATAATGCCCCAATGGCTGAAAAGACGAGCATGTTTGACGATAGGATTCGAACTCACAACTCACAGATTGCGAGTTAAGTGCCTTAACCACCAGTCCATTAATTGAAATAAATATCAATATATTTCTCAGGCAGTAAATCGCTCAATGAAGGAAATACTACAAAACTTATGTTATAATGCAGCATTTACTTTTGTAAATATGGTCAAACATTTCCAGAACACGAAGAAGAAAAGATTCTCTTCCTGCTAGGAGTAGTTGTGTTGTAATATAAAAGCTATTATATGAAGAAAATGAATTTTTTTTCTTCCCTAAGACTAAATTACATAAAGAAACATCCACTGAGGTAAAATGTTGTAGAAATACCATAACATAATATCTAAAACTAATTGAATAAATGTACCTTAAATTATCTTTATTATTTTGAAACATCTCTTTGACAATTTTTTAAGATTTTAAGTAACTGGTAGTATGGTATAAATATAACTACAAATCAACATATAAATTTAATTTTTTAATAAGCAAAAAGAAATTTTAAAAATTGAAGACAGTTAATATGCAGTAATAATTAACAATGCTACATAAACAATAAACTGCACTTGTAAATTATAACTACCCATCTACATAGTTTGAATACAAAATAAATAAAAAAAAGCCTAAAAAGATTTAGGCTCAAACCATAACCTAACTTAATCAAATGGTGTTAAGAAAAAAAACATAGAAATTTAGGTTTAAATGACTGCCTGATTTATCAAATGTTATTTTTTCTTTCGTAAACTTCTGAAAAAGACAATTATAACCATGATACAACACTCACGAGAGTGGGACGATAATGAGAAAAGGTCCATTAACTCTCTTTTTTTCCATTAAATGGGTAATAAGAGCAATGGTCTGAATGGTTTTTCCTAAGCCCATTTCATCTGCCAAAATACCATTGAGGTTGTTGTTATACAGGGAAACCAGCCACTCCAAGCCTTTAATCTGTAAAGCAAACAAGATACAAAAATATACCCAGTACCTCTACATTATTGTCTCCGACAAGTCAACCACTAGTTCATAAACTCTTATTAATACAAGTAATGCTGTTTCTTAAACACATAGCAACTGTAGTGTAGATTCTCATCTAACAAAATTAAGTTTTGGTTCTTATGTCAATTGTTTTTTTGTTACGTATATGTTTTATGAGAAGATACAATCTGTTTACTTCACAGAATCAATCTTTTGATTATAGCAATGCAACTCCTTAAACTTACTGCTGAGCAACTGGGGGATATCTTATGTAAAACAAATAGATCAAGTGAATGATTAAAGAACATTGATGTTTAGTCAACTAAACAGTTTAATTTACCCTTTCATTACTATATTCTCCACTTAACTGTTCTTTTTTTTTTACAACAATTTTTTGTGCATATAGATAAGTTACTATCCATGAAAGACTTGAAATACACAAACTATTAATTAATAGATGGTTCAAATTCAAACAAGTTGCAAACTCAACACTATGCTACAGCATAAGTTTTTAACATTATTTACACATGCCAAGAAGAAACGTATTCCTTACAAAACGAGTTGTCAATCATGGTTTGATTTCTTGATGCAACAAACGAACCGTTTAATTGCTCTGAACCTATCTAAGCTGAAAATTACTGTGGTCCATATTTTCCATAGTACTTAGAATAAACAAATGACATATTCAAAATTAATAGTGTAATTTACAGTTGAAACATTAACCTCAATGCTGTAATTTATAGTGAAAAATGAACCTCAATACCGTAGTTTACAGTTTGAACATTAATCACAATAGTGTAGTTTACCGTTCGAACATTTAATGTCAATGACATAGTTTACAATTGGAAAATTTAGCCTGAGTACTGGAGTTTACAGTTTTTAGTGTCAATACTGTAATTTGTAAGAGGAATATTTAAATTCAATACTGTTGTTTACAGTTGGAACGTTCAACCTCAATACTGTAACTTATTGTTGGATCATTTAACCTGAATTCCATAGTTTACAGTTAAACCTCAATATTGAAGTTCATATGAAATCTTATACATATTGCAAGCATGGTGTCTGTCTGGGCATCTGTCTGTCTCACATTTAAAAAGCTGTGTACCTAAGTAAAGCTCAACATTCACTTTTGAAATGATGGGAGAACAGGCATGAATAATGCTGATGCCAAATTTTATTTCGCAAATAGGATATTCTACACTAAATTGTTAGGGATTAATCACACTATCATTCACATTTCAAAATGTGACGTAACTTAAGTAATAAAAATATAATCTACCGTATGTTGTTGAGTGGCTCTTAGCATGACTGAAATGCTCAACAATCATTTTCCTGGTGAGCAGTATAAGTAGCTCACAGCTTTGGCTCTGAGTGAATCCAAGAGTGCAACCAACTAACCTTTTAAAATCCATGAAATAATTTAAATTGATAGATTAACTCTAATTTTTCCCATCACTGGGGACGGGTACTTTTGCTTGTGTTTAACATGAATGCTGCAGTTCATGGCATACGCTGTAATTATAGAAATGAAAGAAAGTTACTTGATACTCCTTCAGCTGCCCATTCACCAACAAAGCTGACTGTTCTTTAACTTCATCCCTGATAGCATGAGCAATGTTGTAGTAATTTTGGTAGCCACCAGGGAAATTCTTGTATTCGTCATCTTCAGCTTGTGCAGCCCTGACAAAAAAGAATTTGAGAAATGATCTTAATTTTTAACCTTTTGTTTGTAAAATCAGTCGAATACAAATAAGGTATCTAAAATATTCATAAAGATGGATTTCAGAGATTTATAAGTTTTTCTTAGAAAACACAATGTTAACGTAATGCAAAGAACATCAAACATTTATGCACCTGAAAATTGAAGTTTAGTTCTATCTTAAAGGAACATTTTATAAACTAACTACGACTTGTTGAGAAATGCTATAAAATGTTTAAGCTTTCATTGCCCTCTTGTCTTTCTTGAAATGTTTCCAACAAAACCTTAACATATGTAATAGTTTTTCCTAAATAAAAGTCAATATAATTTTTTAGTAGCTTAATCTAACATCACCTGTGGATGATGAAAAATCATTCCAAATTTGATATACAAGTTTTCAGAATAAAAAATTTAAACTTAACTTCCATTGATACATAAAATTTCTTAAAGAATCTAGTCTAAACCAACAGCTGCAAGTCTCTACCAATTTTTTTTGTATAATTTATAAATATTATCACTTTTATCACTTTAGGCTTAACCTTTGTTTCTCCTTTTAGAAGAGAATTAATTTGTAAGAAGAACAAAAATTTTCTCTTTTTATCTAAAGCAAAAATATATTTTTACTATTCTTAAACCGTAAAATAAAATATTTGAAAATGTATGTTTAATTTCTAAATATCTGCATGCACGTAATCATCTTAGCATCACACAAACAAGCAGTAAAAATGAAAAAGTACCTTTCCTCTCCCATCTGTTCTGCATCTTTTGAATGAACTTTTTGAGAATAGATACTGATTATGCTCTGTGTAAATACTCAGTGACCACTTAAGTTACATTAAAAATAAAATGTTGACCAATTCAACATAATTTTCAAATATTTGAAATTGTAAACATTTTTGTGTTTTAATATTCTGGTTCTAAACAATGTACACAGAGGGCTTGTCTCTCAGTTTAAGCTTTGTTGAAAAAAAAAAAGCAGTTCCCATTTGAAAAGTATTCAACAAATCTAGTTATTACTAGCACTGGACTAACTTAAACCATAAACCATATTTTAATAATTACCACATGAAGTTACATTAGTGATAAATCTGACTTACTGTATTACTTCCTTTGGTTTATTCTCCGCAGTTTCATTAGCTGAAGAATGTGTTTCTTTTGTTTCTTCTTCCTTAAAAACCAAGATTGTTAGAATCATTTTTTCTACTTAAAAAAATCAATTTAAAAAACTATAATTAATCAATCTGTTACAACCTTGCTCCCTTCCATGAGCCACAACTAGCCTCCAAAATGCTTTCTTTGTTAATACTTTATTTTAAAAATTCCATACTAAATCAAGGCATAAAATCAATCAATAAAAATTGGTCATTAAAATAAAGTCGTTTACCCTTATTACCAACCAATAACTCAAAAAACACTGAACTAATACTATAAATATGTATTTACATACACATACACCTCTAATTTAACATTTATAAAAAAACTACTTAAGAAGAATCTGTAGTCTAATGTGATTTTTTTTTAGACCTATAGATTCAAATTTTTACCCAACTTTTGGCATGTATCACCAAAACAAATTTATTTCTACAAACTTGATTAATTTTTGATATATTTCAAAAGACATAACTGAACAATGAAAAATTTACTGATAATTGGAACACCTGAAGTAAGTGGAAGTTGTTTTTTTAACTATGTCGAGGATGTTTTTTCACTGTATACAAGTATACATAACTATCATGATGGACAGATAAAGTCTTCTTTAAATTATCTTAAGTCTGAAATTTCATGCTAAATGTAAACATGTGCAAATAAAAACTCCACAAGTCCTTAATATCAAAAATTGTTTTCTCACCTCAGATGAATATTCTCCATCACTGCTCGCTTCTTCATCGCTGTTTTCTCTTGGTGCTACTTCGAAGCTAAACAAACCACAGAAAACCTAGTGTACAACTTTATGACCACAACGTATCACTTCTAAAAGTATATGTTAACCCAAAGAAACAAACATTATAAGGAGAAAAACAAGTAGAAAGTGAACCAAATACTTGGATGCAAAATTAAAGCAAATATCACATAAAGCCATATGCCTAATGTTAGTGATGATTTGAAAAAAATCATTGTCCAGTTTGGAATGGAAATTATGGTATACTGTCAATTTTCTGAGAAACTCTGAAATAAAATAATTCAATAGTTTTATATTGTCAGAAAACATTACAAGTTCAGAATCAAACTCAGTACAAAAGGTTATTAAGGATCAAAGGTAAATATTGCACAGTTTGTGATATTTTATGAAAGAACAAGTCTATAAATCCTCTCCAAAGAGAATGAGAAAAGATAAATAATAAATTCAGTGTTTGCTCACAAAATAAAAACAGTTTACATACTACATGATATTAATTACATTTTTTGGAAATGAATTTTCCCTAGAAGAACAGGCATATAAATTCAATTAACTGCATTTTTATAAGAATTTCCAAACTTCTAAGCTAATAAAACCATATTGTCACTTGCTGCAGACGTCCTTTCTCTCTTATACGGATTGTAAATTTCTAAATTTTTAGTTACTCTAACCATTTCTTGATTACTTGCCTTCAAATAATCTAAATAATTTTTTGTTTGTTGTATGATACATCAAGGCAACATTAATTTTATTGTTTCCCTGTTCTTTTATTTTGTTGAAGTAATTATTTTAGCAGTCTCTTTTCACTTCACAAAAACTATGCCGTCTTATGGTAAAACTTCATTCTGGTATGAGATCATCGCTTAGGAAAAATCGTTTCTGAAACAACTTTCCTGAAACGAGTGTAGAGGTACGTTTTAGAGATGAGATGAATACAATCTATTTATATTAGATTAATGTGGACCATTCCCAGTTTGCCCCTGAAGAAGAAAGGTCCACCTTTCGAAAGTGCTCGGGTTATAAGTTTTTTTATTCATTTCTATCAAGACTTCTTGAACCTATGTGTTCTTCTAACATCATGAATATATTAGATTAATGATATACAAGATACTTACTTGCAAAATTTCTTTAAAAAAAGAGGGTTAGCACATATCATCATTATATATGTATAAAACCTGAAACTGCAACATTTCAACAGCCATTCCTATGCACTAAGGTGAAAACAGTGAAAATAATCACGACCTGCACTGCATATACACATTTTATATGTTTTCACAAATACATTCACATATATACATGTCACTTTATATCAAGTATCAAGCTTAAACACCTTAGTTAGATCCCTCTAATTCTTGTTTTGTAAAGTTTTGTTTGTTTTGAACTTCGGGCAAAGCAACACGAGGGCTATCTGCGCTAGTCGTCCCTAATTTAGCAGTGTAAGACTAGAGAGAAGGCAGCTAGTCATCACCACTCACCGCCAACTCTTGGGCTACTATCTTACCAATGGATAGTGGGATTGACCATCACATTATAACGCCCCCATGGCTGAAAGGGCGAGCATGTTTCGAACCTGCGACCCGCAGATTGCAAGTCGAGCTCCCTAACCACTTGGCTATGCCGGGCAGTTGTGATAAGAGAGTATCAAGGTTGTTACTGTTTTAAATATATTCAAACAAACTCTAGATCAACAGAATGAAACATAAGCAGGTAAACAGAAGAACTCTTTAACTTTGTACAAACTACATTTGTACCTACCCAGGATTCATCTCCAACCAAGCTTCTAATTGACTAGCCAGTGGTGCATCATCACCTATTAACATCTTCCCAGTAGCTGTCTCCATAACATTAACCCGAAGATCGCTCTGCTGGGAGCTCTCATCCAGAAGCTACACAAGTATATTTATACTACATCTTTAACGTGCATAAATTTAAAATTTTGTTTTTATAATACGTCATTTCTGTATATAATATAGTAGGTTGTGAAAAGAGAAAAAAAATATACATCTAACCTATAAAAAGGCCAATGTGTTTTATGTCATATTTGATTTCTTGAAAGAGGAGGAGTCATAAAAGACAAAATGCATTTATCCAGATAGAATAATTTGGTTACTGCCTACCCATTACAATATTAGTGATGGGGGTCCATGAGGAGAGGGGTGCCATGAAACCTTATAAGTGTAGTGATTGTTGGTATAATAAGCCTAAAGTAAAGATGTAGTGTTGGATCACCTAGCCTAGAGCCAAGTGCATAAAATTTATCATGAAACTAAAAATATTGATTCAATTTTAAACTTAAATCGTTTCTGAATTACGTTATTTTCTGTTATATCACCAAAATTTTAAATAAAAAACAAACCTCTTTAATCAATAAAGACTCTAAATTAAGAAATCAATAAATATTTTTTCAGTTTTGTTGTCTTTATATTTCATTTTACACTTTCAGTATACTGACTAACTACAATATTAGGTTATACTTTTGTTGCTAAACAACATAACATAAAAATCATTGTCGGAACATAGTGTTACCAAAATGCACTGGCTTTTCTACATATTAGAAGTTGTTAATCTGATTTTTATCAATAATTATTCTATAAATACGCCACAAATTCATTTCATAAATTATCTTAATTTTGATTGGCTCACAAAGGAATTTATTGACATTTGACTTGCCTCGACTGCTCTTATCTGCTTCTTTGTTGTCAAGCTTGATTTCGCAAAATTTATTTATTTAAGTTAGCTATGAAATGTGAGGTTAGGGTATCCTACGAGATGGGGGTGGTAGTACTTGCCCCATCATTTTTGATGGGCTATACGCTAGTGTATCATAAATAAAACAAAGAAACATCACTTTCACACATAAACGCACACACACACACACATGAAAATATCTTTAAATAAAAGATAAAAATTACTTTAACTACAAGTTTTCCATTTTCTTGTAAATTATAATACTGTTTAACAAAAAATTTCGTTTTATTTCAAACAATATGCTTGCTACATTAACCACGTAGAACACGTGTAATTAGAACCTC